CTCTCTCGCTCTCTCTCTCTCTCTCTCTCCGTCTCTCTCTCTCTCTCCGTCTCTGTCTCTTTCTCTGTCAGACGCAGTATGAAGCGCAAGGCGAGCTTCACCTGCCCGTTTAATGGGAACTGCAGCATCACCAAAGACAGCCGGCGTCACTGCCAGGCCTGCCGTCTGAAGCGATGCGTCGACATCGGCATGATGAAGGAATGTGAGTGTCACACGCCCTCAGAGCTGCCCGGGGTCAGAGGTCACACATGGGTCACGACAGCCCCCGCAGACTTCATCATATGAAAGAACCAACACAATGCTGTCAGACCAGCGACACACTCATCACGCCTGTCGACAGCTCACACACTAAATAAACCACATACTGACAACACATATATTTACTCATAATATTTAGTTATTTATATATACATTGATAACACACACACACACATACATATATAGTTTATTGTATTAGTTTATAAATATATATGTATCATTAATATCATGTATAAAACGAAAAGTTATGTATTTAAAGTATATGCATACTTTATTTACATTTACATTTAGTCATTTAGCAGATGCTTTTATCCAGAACGACTTACAAATGAGGACAATAGAAGCAATCAAAACCAAAAGAGTAATGATATACTAGTGCTATAACAAGTCTCAGTTAGCTTAACGCAGTACACGTAGCAAGGTTTTTTTAAATTATATAATAAATAAAAAGAAAACCGAGTAAGAATAGAGCAAGCTAGTGTTAGAGGCCTTTTTTGCTTTTGTTAGTTGTATAATAAATAAAAAGAAAACAAATAGATAGAATACAAAAACATTTTTTTTTGTAAAAAAACAAGCAGTTAGAAAATGAATAGAGTGAAAGTCTTCCTTTTTTTTTAAAGAATAGAATTAGAATAGAGTGCTAGAGTTCTAATAGAGGGTCTAATAAAGATGGAAGAGATGTGTTTTTAGTAGTGCTGTCAAACGCATCCAAAATAACATTTTTGTTGACAAAATGTGTTTGTACTGTATATATTTATTATGTATATATAAAGACACACACATACAGCATATATTTTGAAAATATTTACATGTATATATTTTTATGCATATAAATTATATCATATATAAATATATTTAATATATAAACGTAACATATTTTTCTTAAATATATACATACGTACATGTGTGTATTTATCTATACATAATAAATATATACAGCACACACACACATATATTATGTAAACAAAAACTTTTATTTTGGATGCGGTTAATTGTTTGACAACACTAGTTTGTAGCCAAATCTTGAAGATGGCTAAGGACTCGGCTGCTCGGATTGAGTTGGGCAGGTCATTCCACCAGGAGGGAACATTTAATTTAAAAGTCCATGAAAGTGATTTTGTGCTTCTTTGGGATGAACAAT